GGTGATGAGACAACAACATATAGTTAGTTTTCTCTGTATTTACTTCTAGACCAACCTTCTTACTTGGGTCAATTAAAGTTTGCATGTTTTTCTTTATGGTATCTATATTATCATTATCACCCAGTAGATTCACATCATCAGCACAGACCAACAGTTGATGTGTCCCATTTAATTTTAGTCCAACCTGGTTTTCCTAGACCTTCCTAATGGCATATTCTAAAGCAAAGTTGAAAAGGAGTTGCGATAAAGCATCTTGATTTAGACCATTCTGGATAGCGAAATTATCAGACAAATGTTTATCTATACAGACTTTAAAATACATTTCATTTAAACACATTTTAATCAGCCTAAGTAGTTTCATGGGTACCCCAAACTCTATCAGAATACTGTAAAATACTTCGCTCCTAACTGAATCATAGGCTTTCTTGAAGTATACAAATAGCTGATGTACTGTCTCACTGTACACCCATTTTTGCTCCAGTATCTGATGAATGCAAAAGATCTGATTAGTATTTGATCTGTTATGTTGAAACCCACACTGATGATCCCCAATAATTTCATCTGTTTATGGACTTAAACCTTGAGTGAAGAATATTGGACACAATTTTGTATGAAGTTGATAGCAGTGACATCCCCTGATAATTATTACAGTCAGTTTTTTTCCCCTGTCTTGTGAACTGGTACAGTAATCGACTCCTACCACTGATAGGCAATTTTTCCTTATGCCAAATAGAAGTAATTAGGTTATGGATCTTAGAATGTAATATTTTGCCTCCTGCTTGAATAAATTCTGCCAGAATTTAATCACTACCTGGCTATACCTTTTCAATTTTGCAATAGCAATAGCAACCTCGAAAGGGCTAGGATCCAGTACAGCTGTAGGTATTTCTATCTGCCTCACATCACTGACACTATGTAGATTCAATAACAGAGTAGTAGTTTTTCTACCTATTCAAAAAGTTGTGGGAATCTGCAAGCAGATCACCATTCTCATCCTTTAGTAAGTTACTTCTAGCTTGGTAACCCCTCTTAAAGTCATTTATTCCTCTACACAGGTCTCTAATCTTCTTGTGCTTACTGTTCCTTGGAAGTTCATTAATTCTGTCTTTTGAATATTCCCTCTTTCTATTCCTGAAATTCCTGCTGGCTTCATGTCTTATATTGTTCAGCTTATCCCCATTTACTTCACTTGGATCCTGTAGCTACTGCAATTTGGCTGTTTTCTTTTCTTTTCATTTCATTTCATTTTTATTATCATTCAACAATCCATACATACAGGTATTACAACCATTTGGATAGGGAAATTGTCAGTTTTACATCTAATTCCCGTGCGTATCTTTACAGTATACACTGTACCACCCTAGTATAGGGGGTTTGTCATCTGAATAATATTATCTAAATCTAATTACCATTAATTTCATTGTCTTCACAAAAATAAAACAGATTAATCAGCTACATATTACATTTACACACTTGATGAATCAAAATACATAAATTCATCTACAGAATAAAAGGAATGTTTCAGCAAAAAAGATTTTAATTCCTTTTTAAATGAGTTAAAATTTTCCCTTTGTTTTATTTGATTGGGGACCTTATTATACAAACTAATTCCCATATTTGTCACACTCCTTAAAAAGAGCTGTATTACAGTGCTGTACATGAAAATTTAATTTTCTTCGTGTGTTATAATTATGAATGTCTGAATTTATTGCCATATAAAAGCCTTGTATTTTTTGATAAAGCATGTCACCTCCAATATATACAGAGAAGGCAATTGTAACATTGTAATCTTTAAAAATTTGTCTACATGAAGTGCGACTACTAATACCACTAATCACTCGAAGAAACTGCTTTTGCAATTTAAAAATGCTTTTACTTTCCCCACCCCACAATAAGATACCATTTCTCATACATGACTCAAAATTCGAAAAATAAATAATTTTTATCATATATGGACTCATTATTTCTTTTAATATTTTCACCATATAAATTACTTTGCATAGCTTTGCTTTTAGAAATTGAGCATGAGTTCACCATTTTAGGGTTTCTGTCATGAGAATTTCAAGAAATCTCAATTCTGACTGATATACTATTTCTGTATTATTAAAAATTATTTGTGGTCTTAACAGATCTTTCCACTGTTTTGAATGACATGATGTCTTTTTAGTATTTATTACAAGGTTATTTTTTTAAACCATATTTCTAATTCTTTCATAACATTCATTATTTTATATTGAAGGTCAAGTTCATCTTTTCCAGTAATTAATAAATTGGTATCGTCTGCATATAAAACCAGCTTTGCTCCTTGAACATTTTCTGTAAGATCATTAATGTATAGTAAAAATAAAATGGCCCCAACACTGATCCCTGTGGTACACCATACTTCACTTTCCTACATGATGAATTATAACTGGTTTTGACACTGCCGTCAGTGTTTTTTATTTCAACATATTGGATTCTGATTGACAGGTAAGACCTGAACCACATATTTGGCACGCCTCTTATGCCATATGAGTCTAGTTTCTCTAAAAGTATATCATGGTCTATTACGTCATATGCCTTTGATAAATCAAAAAATAATCCTATGGCATATAGGCCATTATCCAAGGCCTCTGGTATACTTTCAATAAAAGACTGACTTGCTGTGTCAGTTGATTTATTCTTTCTGAAGCCATTTTGGGCCTCTGTTAATATATTATTTTGAATTAAAAACAGCATTAGCCTATCATACATCAATTTTTCTAATATTTTGGAAAATGCCAATAAAATGGATATCAGTCTATAGTTTTTAATATCATGATATTCCCCTTTCTTATGCAGAGGTATCACTTTAGCTAATTTTAATCTATCTGGGAAGGTGCCTGAGCTCAAAGAGGCATTGAAAATATGAGCTAGTGGTCTTTTTACATAATTTATACATTTTTTAACAAGATATTCTGGTATCTCATCATATCCTGCAGATAATTTACCTTTTAGACTATTTGTTACACACACTATTTCATATTCAGTGATTGGATGGAAAAATATGGTATTAGGGCAGCAGTTTATCCTTTGTTTCTGCCACTGCGTTTTTGTTATTATTGTTGTTTTGACTTTAAGTTCATCAAGTATTTCAACAAAGAAATTATTTAACATATCTGCCACACTTTGCGGATCTGATATTATTTTTGTACCGCTAACCAGTTGGATTTTCTTATCACCCTTACATGACTTACCAACTTCATTTTCTATTAAATGCCACATAGCTTTCATTTTATTTTGAGATCTTGAAACATACTTATCATTTGCTATTTTTTTTTTTTTTGCTTATTTCATAACACTCTTATAATTTTTTTTATATCTGGTGATATATTCCAACATGTCCCTAGACAGATTATGCTGTTTTTAAAACCATTTAACAGTCTCATCCTTTTACCAGAATTTCTTATGCCTTGGGTAATCCATTTGTTTTTCCTTGTCATTTTCATATAAACAGTCTTTTTTTGGAAATGCTATATTATAATAATAAAGGATCATGTCCATAAAATCATTAAAACTAGCACTTGCATCTGAGTTTGAAAAACTCTCCTGCCATAGCTCCTTCTGCAATAAATAATTAAACTCCTGGATACCCTCTTTAATAAACTGTCTTTTTCTGCTCATTTTAGGACCCCTCTCTTGTCTATTTTCATTAATTTTTAGTGTTTGTGCCAAATGGTCCGAATAACCCAAGTCCAATACTGATGATGTGCATTCCAAAACTTGCTTGTTTGTTACTATGACATCTGTGCTATGGAATTCTTTGTGACCCTGATTGGGGATGTAATTACGTTGGCCAAATTATACACCCGAAGCAATTTTTTTAGTTCTCATACTCTTACACTGTCATCTAAGAAGTTTATGTTCCAGTCACCACATAAAATTTGTTTTTTCTTTTTCAACTGCACATTTTAGATTACAACTTCCAAATTTTTTAGGAACATATAAAAGTCACCATCTGGTGACCTATAAATACACACAACTATTTTGTCCTTCAACAATTCCACTATGGACATTTCAAAATCTTTTTCCTTACCTAATTTATGCAAGTAGAGTAATTTTGAGGATCCTTCAGCAAACCATGGCTTATGCTTCTTCAGTTCATAATAACCTAGACTCTCTTTGGCAGAAATTCCCATATCCTCTATTAGCTTCCCAAGCCTTATTAACATCTCTTAAATTGGGGAACAAACAAACAAATAAACTCAGTGATTCTAGTCCGCAAGCGAACTATACCGACCAAGCGACCGCCGCTTGTCGGCGAAGTTAGTGCCAACTTTTGCAGATAGAGGGTGTCCCGTGGTCAGGGCAACGAAACCATACAGCCGGTAATTTCGGTTTCCTAGACCGGAGCCGCTGTTTCCCGTTCCAGACCCACTACTTCTCAGAAATCATCTGGTAGCGCCGGGAATCGAACCCGGACCTCTAAATATGTAGCCAGGAACTCTGACCACTAGATCACATAGGCGGTGCTAAGTGGGGGAACACATAACACACAAGAAATATAATAAAGAAGGAAAATCGTGATTATACATATTTATCCCAAGGCCGATATTTGCACGTGTTATCTCAGACATACGGTGCATATTTATCATCTATTACAAAGCATGCCGTGAAGTTCGTCAAATTTCTTACAGATTGAGAAATTCCTTTTTGCGCGGATCATAAACCGCTTGATATGAATGCCGGTAGTGTTTCATAATTTTTTGTTAATATTTACAATTATGTAACAATTTATGATAAGTTGGGGGCGATTTGTTGATGGCACGAAACGTGAGAAATGATGTATTGAAAAATAAAAGTCAGCTTGGTACCATCCTTTACCTTTGCACAAACCATACTCATCACCTCCTCCATTTCAGCCATCGCGGTTCTATACTCGCTCTCTCATTTGTTGTGACGTATATGTTGCGGCTGGCTTGACCGGCTTGACTGTGAGGACTGTGAGTGAGTCTATCATCAGTGATGACACCTATTAGGAACAAATGTGTTTATCGTTCCCGCGTTAAAGTACTTGCAGGTATGTGATGTTGTAGAATTAATAGTGATAACGTAATATTTATCATCTGCCTTTATATATTAAAATAATATCTTTTTATATTAATTCATAACTGGTCGTTTGCCATTAAGTTGTAGCTTGCTCGTTTCGGACAACGGTGTTTATTGGACGTAGCTTGAGTTTCCTTGGTGCCCAGGGTATTTGTTTATGAATCTTGTGTGGATGATAAAAGATATGACATAGTTGCAGGTAAGGCCAGTAATATAAACCAAGTTCAGTGGTGGTTATTGTATCATTGGCAATTTCAGTTTCATTGCTGTCATTATTTTGACTGAGGCGTGTATAATAACTTAAAATACGTAGTGCCATTGTGTTTTTGTGCAGGTATGATTTGTTGTATCAGTTATATTTATAATTCGTAATATAAGAAGTTTTTGTTGTTTTTGGTGCGTGTTCTTTTTTCCGATGTTTATGCATCGTTAACTGAATGACATCACCAGTGATGCAACAGTTAACATGGCCTGCCTTGGCATATGTATTATTGTGTACCATCTTGGGGTTTCAATATTTTATAACATAAGTATTACATATAAAAACTCAGAAACTATTGTTATAGTTATTAATAACATGAAGTATTCAGGCATAATGTAGTTTGTATAAATTTAGTCCGATAGAAAGTCAGTATATTTGGTAAGAATGAAACAAGTGCTTTATGCATTAAGTACTACTAATTGCCAAGGAAGGAAACCATGGTTGACATAAAACACATTATGCATTGAGAGACTGGTATGCTGTTACCCATAAACAAAAAGTAGTTGGGTTAATATTATCCTTAAAAGTTCATGTTACATTATTTGATTTTGGTCAAGGTTTTATAAATTGAATTATTGGATCATGCTTACAGTGGAGGTAGGGGTGGGGGGATTAGAAAGAGAGCTGTGTGGTTGAGGAACAGAAGTATGTTACAAAATGTAAAATCACTAGAGGGAAGGGTTAGTCCTGAAGAAGCGATAGAAGAAGCAAGTTAGATGTACAGTTGCATAGTTAATCTTGAAGTTTCCTTCTTTTATACCTCTGTCACCCTGCACAAGTTGAGTTGAACTGAGTGAAGCCGAGAATCTGCCTTAGCAGCATTTGATTTGACTGTTCTTCATTTAGTAATGTGCCCACAGTCTTCTATAGCGGTAAAGAAAAAGGAAGTTAAAAGAAACTGTCTCTGTAACAGGCTGTGGAGGCCCATAGGGATGTGAGACATCAAGTCTCCTACATTTTCTAGACAATTGGCTCACAGAGAGCGATGAGGTTGTCAGCTTTACGCACTGGTCATCATTCACACCCCAGGAAAATGCCTGGTACTCATTTCTGTTAGAGGCTGAGTTGACCCCATGGCCTTAGAGCGACTGGAAGTATTAGGTCAATTGAAAAATCCAGTGACCCCATGGGGATTTGACACCGCAACCTTTCGGCGTGTAGTATAGTGCCCCAACCAACTACACTACCGCGTGCCCCATCTTATAGGAGTTGAAAACGTTTTTAAGAACTACAAAAAATTGGAGCGGATCATTTTCTGTTCCTTCTTTCTACATTTACATCAGACATATGCATGTTCTATATGTATAATATAAACACCATCATAAATGCAACAGTTTATTGTAGTTCTTTGTCTTTCTTCTTACACACTACATGTTTCGGCCGTAACTGGCCATCATCAGGTGTATTTCGTTTACACTGCATGTAATTTAAAATTTAAAAACACTAGCTTTCTCAATTGTCATTGCTGCGTTTCAGTCGGTCCTGATATACCAGAATCCCCTTGCTGATTTTGTCAGTTATGTTTAAAATCTCTGTTAATATACACTCGTTGCTTTAAATTTAAAATTTAATTTTTTTTTTAAGTTTAAATTTAAAGTTTAAAGATAACAGTGGCACTCACACAGGGAACCTGCACAGAATAATACATGAACGGTGCTGAAAGCAAGAAGTAGCCGCTGCAGCACATGTAGACATAGAGCAGGTATCCCTATGATTTAAATTAAAAAAAAATTAAATTTAAATTTAAATCGACGAGTGTATATTAACAGAGATTTTAAACATAACTGACAAAATCAGCAAGGGGATTCTGGTATATCGGGATCAATTGAAATGCAGCAATGACAATTGAGAAAGCTGGTGTTTTTAAATTTTAAATTACATGCAGTGTAACAGCTATGTAAACGAAATACTACACCTGCTGATGGCCAGTTACGGCTGAAACATGTTGTGTGTAAGAAGAAAGACAAAGAACTGCAATAAGTTGTTGCATTTACGATGGTATTTATATTATACATATAGAAGTGTAAAGTGCAACAGGATGCCTAAATACTATATATGCATGTTCATTTCAGTATTGGATTCAGCAGTAGTCATTGATGTACATGGGGCAATCCAAAAGTTTCCGAAATTAGAATTTTGCGCGTGAATGGTTATGAGTACATCGAAATACCGCTAGGTGTCTCCTCACACATCCTTCTTGAATCAGTGTGGCAAGCGGTGTTGAGTTGAGTGGTTGGGTTTGTTGCTGGTGAACATATTTCCATTGTTGTGTTTCCGTGAGTTTGCGGTTTTGCGATGGCTGACCTGAGAGAGCAGCTTGTCTGTATAAAGTTTTGTTTGAAACTTGGGAAAATCGCTGCAGAAACGCACCAAATGTTGAAGCAAGCTTTTTGTGAAAACAGTTTAGGCCAGACACAAACTTAAAACTGGTATAAGCGTTTTAAAAATGGTCGAACATTGACTGATGATGACGATCGTTTTGGACAGCCATCAACGGGCAAAACACCAGAAAATGTCGCGAAAGTTAGGGATCTGATCCTGCAAGATCGTAGACTGACCATCCAAGACCTCTGTAACACCTTGGGACTAAGTTATGGTACATGTCAACGAATTTTGTCAGAGGAACTGAACATGAGGATTGCGGTGAAGTTTGTGCCACGACTGCTGCAAAATGAACAGAAGCAGCATCGCTTGGAAGTCTGCAGGGAACTTCAGCAACAACTTCAAGAGGATCCAAACTTTCTTTCAAAGGTTGTCACTGGTGACGAAAGTTGGGTTTATGACTAGGACCCTGAAAGCAAGCAGCAATTGTTGCAATGGAAGAGCCCTTCTTCGCCTCAGCCCAAAAAAGCTCGACAAGTCAAGAGCAACATTAAGTCCATGTTGATCTTTTTTTTTTTTTGACTGAATTGTTCAAAAGGAGTTCGTCCCTCCTGGTCAGAAAGTCAATAAAGAGTTCTATCGCGATGTTCTAAGGCGTTTGAGGGAGAACATGAGGAGAAAACGTCCAGAGAAGTGGCGCATGAACGACTGGGTACTCCACCATGACAACGCACGACCGCATATGGCTTACATTGTGCAGGAATTTTTGGCTAAAAACAAGATGGCGGTTGTTCCCCACCCACCGTACTCACAAGACTTAGCTCCATGCGACTTCTTTCTCTTCCCCAAGATGAAAATCAAGTTGAAGGGGCGAAGATTTGATACAGTTGAGGAAGTTCAAGGGGAAACGCAGACGCTACTAAACACCCTAACAAAGAAAGACTTCCAGGATGCATTTGAAAAGTGGCGGAAACGCTGGGATCGGTGTATGCGCTCCCAAGGGGACTACTTTGAAGGTGATGGTGCAGAATAAGATCTAGGAAAGATGTAATAGTCTTTAGTAATATATTTCGGGAACTTTTGGATTGCACCACGTATTATTTATGAGCTGAGGTTTATAAATATTTTGACAAGATGTCTATCTCTCTAGGTGTTTTCATACCTCTGAGGAGCACTGTCTGTACTCATGATACAATATAAGGATGATAAAGTGCATGTTCATGGCTTTGATATTGAGGAGTTCAACGAAAAATTTATCTGCATATTCCAATTCTAGTAAAATTTTGTCAGCATTAATGAACACATTATACAGTAACCTATAAGTGTTTCTGTGCACATCTTGAGGTTTTCTCATATATGGTTGAATGTTTATCAGAGTGACAGATGTCTGACACAGAGTTATAGGGAGAATTAAGCACACATGTAGTCGCTACAGTGACTGGCTGCAGGCTGGACAATCAAAGGTAGGAATTCAAGTGTTGGTAGGGTCAAGAATTTTCTCCACGTCCTCCAGACTGGCTCTGGGGTCCACCCAGCCTCCTATACAGTGGGTACTGGGGGCTGTTTCCACGGGGATAAAGTGGGCGGGGCATGAAGCTGACCGCTCACCTCCAGCTAGTGCCGTGGTCAAGATTAAGGTGGATCTATATATCCACTCCCCCATGTGCCTTCATGGCATAGTATTAAATTAGTTAAGCAGAGGCAACTGTACCATTTTACATTTACACTTTTTCTGTAAGATAGTTTTAAAAATAGTTAAGGGGTGGCTCACACACCCAAGAATTGTTATGATATATGCATCTTTTGTAGCTTCTTGAATTGGTATTAAATGAATATTGATGGAAAGAGTGTTCAGGTCATTTATGTAGCTGTTTTTTGATGATGATGTGCTATAACAGAAGGTTACATAAAGTTAGTGTTTTTCCATGGCTGTTGCAGTGATGTGCAAGAGATGTAACATGAAGTTTCCCATTTACAGGAGTGCGGGTTTGATTAATCGCTGAGCTTTGTGAAGGGCACTACAATGGTTACGACGGGAGTGGATCACAGTGTTCTTGATCGGAGTCTTATGGTGTTGGAAAACGAACATGCCCAAACAGAAGACAAGGTTGCGTCATGTTCAGAACTTAATGGGTAATACCTCATGTGAAGTTTGTAAATTTAATAGACATAGGATTTTGGTTGGAAAGCCTGAAGGAAAGAGACCACTAGGAAGACCTAAACATAGATGGGGTGGATAATATTAAAATAAATGTATGCTGGAGAGATCAGCCTCGGTAGTCTAGGGGTAATGTTCCCACCTCATGACTCAAGGTACACGAGTTCAAACCCAGCGGAGGTCCTGGAATTTTTAAGGGCGGAAAAATTCAGGGAACAAGTCCTTCGGGAGGGACTTTAAGCCTTGGACCCGTGTTGTAGATTTATGGCACGTAAAAGAACATCATGTCTCTAGGAGACCTCTGAGCTAAATTTGGCAAAAAGTTTCCCGCCCAAAGTAGTTTCCAATGCCTCCAGTAGATGGGGAAGTATTAGGTACCACTGCCAGAGGAGGGGGGACCTCTCTGACAGAAAGGGACTAACTATTAGATACCACTGCCAGTAGAAGGTTGGAACCTCGCTGGCAGAAAGGGGCTAATAGCGAGCACCAGTACCGGTAGGGTATGGAGACAGTAGAAATTAAAAGGGGGACGCACAATGGACCAATAACTGGTCTAAGTGCATGGGGAAACCCACCCCCTCTATACTCAATACTCAATGCTAGAGAGAGAGATATGATGGGGTTGTATGGACTGGATTGATCTGGCTTAGTATAGGGACCAGTGGAGGGCTCTTGGGAACATGGTAATGAACTTCCAGGCTCCGCAAAATGTTGGGAAATTCTTGAGGAGCAGAGCAACTGTCAGCTTCTCAAGAAGGGCTCAGCTCCATGGAGTTAGTTAGGATAGTTTGGCATGCATTCGATAAACCACATATCCAGCCAAAGGTTTCTCATGATTTTCCACAGTCCCTCTAGGAAAATGTCAGGATGGTACCTCAAATTAGGCCATGACCACTTCCTTCCATATCCATTTATATTCATTATTCGCTAGTCCTCAGATTATTTGATTCTGTATGATCTCAGTTGTGACAGCATCATTAATTAAATTTAAATAAATAATGAAGTGAAAGTCTCCTTGGGCTGAGTTGTCATACTCTTGTACAGTAATCCCATCAGCTCAGCATCTGCCTTCATCTTAGTGAGGATAACCAACCAGCCCATGGTTAGAACTCAGGGTAGGCAGATCCTGAATTCAGCTTCAATGTTTACAATGAATTCTGTGTTTAATGAGTCTGTCAGAGAATGGTTTTTCTTACACTAAATGGGAGCTGTGTGACATTACATCAGTGTACTGTGTGTCTTATAAAATGTACTGTGCATAATGGTGTAATAATAAAATAATTTCTCTCCATACACATTGTGTCTGAAAAGTAATGAGATTCAATTCAATTCACAAGGAATTTGTTCCATAAGGTAAAAGGTAAAGGTGTCCCAGTGCTTAAGCAGTTAAACACTATGCCATTAAGTGGTATGGGGAGTGGACACACAAATCCACACGTTCTTGACCTCTGCATTAGTTAAGGGGTGAGTGGTCATCTTCATGCCCTGGCCACTTTACCTCCAGGGAAAGAGCCCCCAGGACACATTGGTTAAGAGGATAGGTGGGCCCCAGAAGTGGTCTGGAGGACATGAGGGAGGAGGAAAATCTTGCCCCAACTGGGGCCAGAACTCTGAGCCCATGACTGTCCAGCCATAGCCAGTCACTATGCTGACTGTGCTATCTCTTCCATTCTATAAGGAAGAACTGTATATGCCCAGTTTTATTTAGAAAAGATAGAATCATTGTTGCAAAGTATTTGACAGATCAGACCAGGTTTTAATGGAAACAGGAACTAGTTTTGTTGCATTGTACAGCACTTAGAATGTTAATTGCTAGAAGATTTCTTTCACAAAAAGGTGCAGTTGCTGAGATCAACCACCACAGCTGCCGCTTCTGTCACCCCCTCTCCTTCTTCATGTGTTCATTAATTAGAACATGTTGTTAATATTAATTGAAACTGCTCTTGTGTCATCTGTAAGATGAAAACAGTAATAGAACATAAATCTGAAACCTGTGTTTCTAATTATGTACCATTATTTTTTCTTTTTAGGTACTTTAACCATCTTGTTAAAAATGAGACAGATTTGTTACCACTGCCGTTTAAAATTCATGGGGAGAAGCTGATTAAGACATTATTGCAGTATCTTGAGAAGGTATGAGTTGAAGGAACATATTAAGTTAAATTCTGAACGTTCAAAATTATAACTCATAATTTTCATGTAGGAACTATAAAGTACGTGTGTTTATGTGATATTTTATATATTCCTGTTATGTATATGTAATATTAAAGTTCCTGTACCATCGCACAACAACATTTAGTCATTGTATAATAAAACAGTTGATATCAATTGAAAATGATAAATCGCTCAGTTTATTATATTACTCATGCTGTGTGTTACACATTACTTTTTATGATTATAAAAATGGATGCATTTTTATTGTATAATTCAGCATAAGTATTTATATCTGTTGGTTTTATTCATAGTGACCTAATGGTCAGAAGAGACCAAAACATGTATTGTGATTAATACAATAAACTGATTGACTTATTCTTTTCACTTTATCTCAGTTGTTTTATTACACAGTGATTGCTTTTGTGGGACAGTACAAGAACTGACATATTACTCATGTGTGTTTTCATAATCATTGGCAACAACACTGTTACATTTGGGGTGTTTGGGCTTTGAATTTCTGTTCTTTCTTCATTGGAAATAACCAGATTTTAAAGGAATCCTGTGTTTCTTAATATGCAGTAAAGTTTTAATTCAGTTTTAGATCTTTACAAAGAACACCATACTTTAAAATCATTCCTGTCTCTTTCTCTTATGCATTATAGTCTGGTATATTGTTAGGAACTTGTCAGAAAAGATGTTGCCTCCATCTTCAGGATATGAGGGGGCAGGAGTTCATCCAAAACAGTGGTAAAGGTCTACCAGACCACAAGACATCACAGTGCAAGAGACGGTGTGATTCTGTGGGGTAGGAACTTAATTTTTAAATATTTAGATTGGTGGTTTAAGAATTTACTAACAGTGAAGTAGTGGTATTAAATGTGTTGTTTTATTTTATTATTATTACCTTCCTTAGTGGGTTTTGCAGACTGCTGTTCTGAAGAATGTTTTTAAAGGGTAGGGCAGGTGACATTGAGGATGAGCTTATGGAACCAACGGGGTGGTGGCCCTGAAAAATTGGGTAACTGCTGATGTAGATGAATTTTTTATGTGAGAGAGGTAGAAGAAGAGCAGCTTGTTCAATACAAAAATGTGAACTGTTGTTGCACTTTAATTGCAAAGCTGGAACAATTTTGCCTCTAGGGAAATGGTGAGTTACGGTCTCAAGTGCTGTTGGTCCTGAAACAGGCGGTACAGTTATTGCAAAAAGGCTTGGGTATGGGAATGCACGTGGCCTCGCAGTGCTATGCCTTGTTATTAAAAACATCTCGAGCAATTGAAGAAGACCTGGAACCGTCATGTAAGAGTGAAACAGTGGTGGAGTTGTTTCAGTGCATGTCCAGGTTTGATGATCCACAGTTTCTTGATGCTGTTATGACAATGAGATACTCAGACCATAAGGTAAAGACCAATCTTATATATATTTAATGTAACATTAAAAGCAGACACTAACTTCATGCCAGTTTGAAAATATTCTAACAGTGTTTCATTACACCTAATGTTTCTGGTTTCATGAACTGTGTCCATTGGATGATATTCTGAAAACCAGAACCCACCATTTCATGGGCTGAATGTTCTTCTGCCATCAGGTGTGTTTGTGTTGGATGGAGGTAGGGGTTACATACTCAGTTGGGTGAGTTAGAAAGAGTTAAGATTTACCATTATTGGGATTAAGTAATGTTTGTGGTCCGAACTGAGTTGGTCCCCCCTACCTGAGGACAGGACCAGATTCACCTCATGAAATGTTGCATTGTGGTTTCTAGAATATCACATGATACATACTAACAGGTGACCCACATAACTTCAAAAGTTACAGTCATGTTGTTTATGTTAATTCTGTCAATCATAGAAGTTTATTTGTAAAAATCAGGACCCAAAGCCCAGCTGAATTTGGCTCTGACAACGAAGTCCACAACGTTAGGCTTTTAATTTTTTTAATAAACATCTGAAACCTTATCTGTATTGTTTTCATCCTGTTTTGTATTGTATGTAGTATTATTATACAACTGTCAGTACAACAAATTTGTAATAAATTACCAATATTACTGTATTGTCACATGTATTGGTGACTGTAGACAGGGTTTTGATTGGTTAATAGATTTATTGTCCACTTACAGGTTGTGACTACAAATAACTATAGCACTATTGCTGATTTCCACACTACAAATCACTCACACTAAGCCTTTTCAGTCTACTTTCACTAGTCATTACTTGGTTACAGCTCTCTGAAATGACGGTTCTACTGCAGTGTCTTCACTAGACGTTTCCTAATACAAATCTTAGCAGTGGAGATTCTTCTGCATCTGTTGCTTGCTGCTTAACACCCACAGCTGAACCCTCGACTGCACTGCACTCACTCGCTGAACAGACAGTCTGTTGAGTTATATAACTCGTAGTGGACCCACAGAGAACACCACCTGCACCACCTCTTCTATTGTTGTGTGACATCACCGTGTACCTGTATGCTGTGGGTGCTACATAGCAACTCTGTACCTGTCATTTATCGTGACACCTGTATTGTGTGCAGGCATGACCTAGCAGCAGCTGATGTTTACAGAGTCATCTCTTATCAGCGAGTCTGTACACCACAGTATTGTTCATGTCATTATGTACATCTGATACACATTTTGGTGCAGCTTGATCCATCATCAAAAAAAAATATGAACAAACAAAAGAAACTGCGTGGTCTGTAGTCCACAAGTGAATTATACTGACTGAGCAACCACTGCTTGTTGGCGAAGTTAGTGCCAACTTATGCAGAGAGAGATTGTCGCGTGGTCAGCACAACGGATCCCCACAGCTGTTAATCTCAGTTTTCTAGACTGGTGCCGCTACTGTCCTTGAAATAGCTCCTCTAATTATCCTCATGAGGCTGAGTGGACCCCATTCCAGACAAACTGCTTCTCAGAAAGAAATCTGGTAGTGCTGGAAATCCGAGACCTCTGGATCTCTAGGCAGGAACAGTTATTGTAATGAAATTCATATTAATGATTACTAATGTAGATCCACATTAGAAATGCAATTCAATAACGAACAGTACATTTCATGAAAAATTGCCTGATGATGATCCAGCTGGATCAAAACACACAGCAAACATACATGATGAATTGAATGATAATACAGTCACATTAGTTATTTATTACAGAGTTGTTGTATAATAATCTGCATCTTAAAATCTTCTAAGATTAGGCTTTGTGTATTGTTTTTTTACATATACATGCTTCTACCATTGGAGGCATGTGGCAGGCAACATGTCACTGAAGTCTTGAGAAGTTACTGGAGGGAGCCATTAATATGTGAGGACTTATGAAATGATGGAGGAAGTCCTGGAAACTAGTAATATGGACTGTTCTTAACTGTTGCAGGAGCTGATCAAGAAAAGTGTAAATGTCTCTGGGGAGTCAATTGACCGCAACTTGAATGACCTGTTGGATTATGATTCCTTGATCTCAAGTCTGAGATTAGAGGCTTTGTATTTTGCAAAAAGACTGATAAAAGTTTGTGGTTCATTATTGCTCATACAGTTTGAGGAAGATCTTGACTTCTGGTTTGAGCTCCTATTACCACAAGTATTTGTTTTTCGTGAAGTGTATGACTCTGTTTTGTGCAAAGAAGTTGATGCAGATACACGGAAAGCAGCTAGAGAGGCTGTAAAGGCACTTTTGATCATCATACCAAGAGATGAGCAGCTGAAACTTCAGAGTTGGCAAAGGATAAAAAGTGACATTAAAGACAGGTATGGATTTCACATACACTTAGAATGAAGTTTTGATTGAATTAATTTTTTTTTTTGCTAATAATAGTTATAGTGAATATGACAACTAATATCCATTGCTGCTAGGGTTAAGAGATCTGTTACCGAGGTAGAATACTAACTTATAAATTTCGTTTGAAACTTTTTTCTGCACATTAAGCTTGCAAACCTGAGATTTTGAATGTGTGTCACATGTATTCACGTAATATGCATCTGTATTTATGGAAATTATGCCCCTGCCAACATTCCTATGAAAAATATGGCCATAAGCTCATACTGCAACTACATTTATATATCTTTATCTTACTAGTTTGTTTGATGTGCAGATATGGCAGGACAATTGTAAAGGGTTGTATGACAATTAGGGTTCTGGATTTGTGTCTGTCTAGTATTGCGAAGAGAATGCGGTGCTTGGAAACAAGGCCTGTTTTCATCTTTAAGATGGGGAGGCATGGGGAAGGGGAGCTAATCTCAGTCACGGTGCCTTGTGCCATAACGTTCCGTAAGCTGGATTCATTTCCGTCCTCATACAGAAAGAGCCACCATTATTCACTGAATTCTTTCACCTGAGAAAGGGAACAGATCCGTTTCTGAAATGTTCTGATCTACATGGAACACAGGACAATAGAGGAGTACTGAAGTATGACAGTTTTCTTCAGAAGTAAACCCACAATAACTTTGGTATTCCTGATTATAAATTATTGTGTATGGTCATGACACTCAGGTTTATTGAGTTCTAGGATCTGAAAAGCGTGTAAATGTACATCATGATCATCTAATGTTACATTGTTCAAATGTTGTTATTTTTCAGTTACTCTGATAAGATGGTGAAGCTTGTGGGTATTGCCCCTGATTGGGCGTCAATATGGTGCTTGATGTTAGATGTTTTGGGAGCAGAACTCGTTAGAAAAGGAAACAATCATCTTATTAACAAACTCTTGAATGTGGAAGAAAGGGCATTCAAATATGATAGTACAGATGTTCGTGTCCAAGCTTTTATTTGCTGGCGACATCTCATTGACAAGCTGTTGCTGTCCAGAATTGAGGTATGTAGATAAGCTGAGGTTACATGGTTGTATAACTCTGAATGTTAAAGGAAAATAATTATCAAGATAAAATTTATGAAACTGAAACTACATAGCACAAATGCCTCATGCTTGCCCATAGTCTGCTGTGATTGTGTGACCTCGTTTTTCAGATTGTGGTCTTTTAGGCCATGACACTGTGTATTATGGTAGATTGACTCCAAAAAAGGAGACTAGATGTTCTTCTGAACCCTTGTTATCATCCACCTGGAACACTGCATGCCATTGCAACCCAGAAAGAAGACTTCAGTCTGAACGCTCACTGCCATGAAGGCATCAAAATTCATATCACTTGACACTTTCAACTTCTGTATACCAGAAATGGTACAGTTTGTATATTTATAAAATATACAGGGTTGTTCTCAGATGCATGTCTTAACTTCAGGAGCTGATACCCAGTGTGATGCACACCCAGAAATGTCATGAGATCTAGTTCACAATGATTGTGGAGCAGTGGATATTTGAAATTCAGGAATGATTTGTACATAAATCATGGTAATTTCTTCAACAGAAGTGCATGCTGGCAATCAAAAATTAGGAAGTTTTAGAAGTATTTAAATTTTGAACATTTTGTGATATATCTCTATACTAGGTAGTTTAAATACCCTATTTTTACTTTAAATATGCAGGGAATGTTAACCACTATTATCCAGGAAAAGGGGGGGATGCTTTAGAGTAGTTGGTTGAGGCACTGTGCTACACGCTGGAAGGTCACATGTTTCCACATGAGGTCACTGGATTTTTCAGTTGACCTAATCTTTCCAGCTGCACTGTGGGCCTGGGTTCAACTCGGACTGTAACAGAAATGAGTACCAGGAATATTCATGGGAGTAAAGGGAGGCTGATGCATAAGGGTGACAGCTTCATTGCCATCTGTAAGCTGATTGTCTAGGAAATGTGGGAACTGCAATGTATCTCAACCCTGTGGGCCTACATGGCCTGTTACAGGGATTGGCTTACCT